GTACAAGACTCAGAAGCATTCAGAAATGACTCTGTTCAGTCTGAGATACCATTTTGCAAACTGTGAAGTAAATAGGTGTTTGACTTACCCAGAATATAAAATTTAAGATCCAAATAAAAACAAGTCCAATTACTAGGTGCTATGACAAAAGGTAACATGAAAATCACTCCTACAGTCACGTTAATTGATAAAAAATTGGAAAGGAAGTTTTATTATGAGAACTGAAATATGTTTCTGGAGAATGGTCAGAGGAAAACTTTAGAAGTTAATGGAAGTTAATCGAAATGCTAGCTCTGCCATCCATGCTGTGTAAATTTAGGCAACTTTCCTAACCTTTCCAAGTCCAAATTTTTTCCCGTAAGAACAAGGACAATGAAGGGATACGTGGGTGGCTTAGTCAGTTAAGCATCCAACTCTTAATCTCAGCTCAGTCTTGATCTTAGATCGTGAGTTCAAGTCCCATGTTGGGCTCTACACAAAAAATAATAATAAAAAGAATAGGGATAATAACTATCATATTGAGTTACTTTAAGTATTCAGTGAAGAAAAAAGTGCGAATCACCTAGAACATGATAGATACTCAATAAAAGAAGCTAATATTTTTGTTCTCAAAACATAACTTCACTTGTCATCTGTTTTATTCTATGCACTTATAAGTAGGTAACTGGTAATTCAACGAGAGAGCTCTCCTGGGGTAGGATTTTGAAGTCTTTTTATATGGAATTCTATCCTATTTTTCTTAGTTGCTTTCCAAAACAGTACTTCTGATGTTATACAAGCATTTCACATGCATCCTATTTTACTAAAATGTGTTGGAAAAGGTCTTATAAGATGCAAACCTAGTTAATAGCAAAAATAATCAGAGAACAGATAAGAAAAAAAAATCCTGTTCAATAATGAGATGAAATGAATACAAAAATGCTAGTATCATGACAGGTTAGAGTGTTCTGGTCACAAAGACACTGATGGGATTATGAGAAATTCCCTATAACAGAAAAGCTAACACTTAGCAGTTAAGAGGTTCTTGCAGGCATATTATTGCTCCTTTTTGCAAACTGCCTCTAGCATAAATTATGGATATTTCAGAGTCCTGTCAAAAAGTGTCCATTGAAAGAGAAATTCAGATATGTTTTTATAAACCACTGAAAGTGTGTAGCTGATGCTACAATAAAAAGAGGTCTCCACTTAACAGTATCACCACTTGCATTTTGTTAACTCTGTTGTTGATGGAGGGCAGGGATGAGGTTGGGCTGTGCCTATCTTTAACTATTGGTCTGTTCCTAGGCTCCCACCTCCTTTTCCTTTCTCCTAGGGATGACATAAGAATAGAAGTTCACATGATGGAACCCCTGGGTGGCTCAGTTCAGCATCTGACTCTCGGTTTTGGCTCAAGTCATGATCTTGAGGTTGTGAGATTGAGCCCCATGTCGGGCTCCACCCTTAGCACAGAGTCTGCTTCAGATTCTCTCTCCCTGTCCCTCTGCTTCTATCCCTGCTCATGCTCTCTCAGTCTCTCTCTCAAATAAATAAAATCTTTAAAAAATGGATAAAGGGTCACATGAATATTTTGAACACATCACAAAAAAAATAAGTTCTATAAATTTAGAATCAATTATATTGCATTATTAGGAAATTCCCAGGTGGGCCACATATGAAATAGATAACTCTGCTGCCTTATTTTATATGCGATTTCCTAACTACAAAAATAAATGATAGATAGATAGATAGATAGATAGATAGATAGATAGATCCCATCTTATTGTCATTGTGTTGTAACTTTGGCTTCTTTTAGACAATCCTTTTCCTAGGGCTTCCCTGTCCTGTATAGTAGCCACTGGCCACACGTGGCTATTTCAATTTAAATTTTAATGAATTAAAATGAACTGAAACACAAAATTCAGTTCCCTGGTTCTATTAGTCACATTTCAAGCACTCAACAGCCACATGTGACTACCTGCTATCATGCTGGACAGAGAGAACAAAACGTTCTACGCAGAGCCCTGGCCCCGAAGATACTCACGCTGAGTGATCCTGTTGCTGTGTGCCCTTAAACTAGCCACTGATAGCATTTGGAGGATTGAATGACCTTAGAAGTTCTGTGAGGACTTCATATCAGTGTCAAACTCAGGGAAAGCCAGAAGTAAGCAAAGAGAAACTAAGCAAGCAATAAAGAAGAAAGAAGGAACAATAGCCACCAAAAGAATACACACTGACGTTATTATAAGAGGATAAAAAATGGCTCAGGAGTTCATTGCTTCAGCAGAGGTACAATTTTACTTGACGCATTTGTCACATGTGGTTTGCACAAAAATGCATCAATCTTATGCTAACTTTCTGATGTCCTAATTGGGTTTTGAGATGTTCCAGCTAAATCGCACAGGAAATATTTCTCGAAATTGTGATGAAGCTTAACCTCCCTTCTGAATACTACATGTTTAAAAACATATTTTCCTCAAAGAGATGTCAGCAGCTATTAACGTAGATAGTTGGAACTTTTGTATTTATCTTTGTTTGGAATGCTTGTACCCACAAGTTTTCATGCTTACTAATATTTTGGCTTCTACTTCCTGCATAGAAAGGAATTCTAACGTAGCATATATTGTGTTATTTGTCCCAAAAAGTGAGAGACTAACCTGTGTATGTTTGCATTTAGGTCATTCTGTCCATTGAAGAAGGTTATAGACTTCCGGCTCCCATGGGCTGTCCAGCATCCCTACACCAGCTGATGCTCCATTGCTGGCAGAAGGAGAGAAATCACAGACCAAAATTTACTGACATTGTCAGCTTCCTTGACAAACTGATCCGCAATCCCAGTGCCCTTCACACCCTGGTGGAGGACATCCTTGTGTAAGATGCATAGTGTTGATTTTCCCCCCTCAACAATCATTTCTTTCAGGCTGTAGACAAGACTAACAGGTAGAGAGCAGAAAGTTTACCATGATAACTGTCTAGTTATCCACCTTTTAGAATATTTTATACAAACCATATTCTATTTATCAGCTGTGAAAAAAACAATTAACATTTTTAAATGGATTTTTTTGTCTTCAGAAAACAGGTTCTCCTTTTGTCTTCTACAAACCTAAATTTTCCTGAGTTAATTTTTTTTGTGGGAGTCTTTGGTGTTTGTATGTCCTTTCTTTGTTGAATGGTCTTTCCTTACCTCCGTGAGTAGAATTTGTGTGTATCTGAAGCCTCTTTAATTTTCTTGTCCATTCTATGTTCTGTCTATTTGAAATGGCAAGCAAGACAGGGGCAATTTGTGAATCAGCCAGGAGTGAGGATGTTTCCCGCTGATAGGATCACACCCAGCTGTTGTTACTTTCCATTCCTAAACCCAGAAAGAGATACATGACAAGAAAATGAAGGCACTCATATACCATTTTATAAAAGTTAGAGTTGAGAAGACCTACTCACTTCCCTCTAAAAAACAATTATAAGAAGGGGAGAGTAAAAGAAAAAAAAACCACTATTACCCATTTCTGAAAATATTACATTTAAAATATTATCAAATTGAGACTATATGTCTTTATTTAGGACAAATCAGAATGAGAAATAACCAAAGCATTTTCAAAGCTCACTTTCCTAAGTCAGGGGACGGCCAACAGGATATACAGATGTTCAGCTTTAGGTTACAGGTTCGAGTCAGTGCAGGTTTTTTGTGATAATAAGGCCAAAGGCTCTTCAAGGACGACTTGAGCAGGCCTCAGTTCACTGCAGAGCACATAAGAGTTCACCTCTAAATCACTAATTGGCAGCCTCAGTAAAGTGAAGCCAAGCATGAAACAGCTAGAGATTAAACTATTACTCTAGCCCATCTTCCCTAAAGCAGTCCAACAGAGGAAGCAGTAAAGGGCGGGAGTGAGGAGGGATGACTTAGGATTTTATCATAAAAGGGCACTCAGTGAGGGATTTTAAGCAAGCGAATGGCATGATCACATTTACATTCCTAAAAGATCACTCTAGAGCCAATTTAGACTGAGTGTGAAACAAGGAACAAGACTGGAAACAGAGACAGTTATGTGTTTACAGAAACGCAAGCTACAGAAGATTAGGGCCGAACTCAGGAAATGGGAATAAGTTTGGGGGCAGGAGGTAAGAGGAGAGAAAAGAGTCAAGGATTCTGTCAAGTGACCTTCTTAAACGAGCTTTCTTACTGTCCTTGGCCGGTAGTGTTACCACTAAGAGAGAGAAGAAGAAGGATATGGTTTTGGAATCAAAATGAGACCATTTCAAGTAAGCTGAATTGAAGATGCCTGTGGGCCATGGAGGTGGACGTGTCCAATAAGCAGTTATACTTGTAGGTTGACCCTCAGATGAAAAGGTCTGGGCTGAAGATTTGAAGCTCATGAATACAGAGACTATAGCTGAAGATTCATGCATAGTTGAGTTGACCCATGCAGACTGTGAGGTATGCAAATTAACAGAGAGAAAAAGTGTAACCCTCCTGAACACCAAGATTTAAGAAATAGCCGAAGGGAGAGTACCCAAAGGAGCCCGAGAAAGAAGAGCCGGACCAGTAATAACGAAAGCAAGGAAAGAGCAGTATCACAGAAGCCAAAAAAATGGGGAGAGTTTCAAGGAGTGTAACGTCCAAGTCTTCACAAAGCTCCAGCACGATAAAAAGTTGAAGTGGGTCCACTGATTTTAGCAGCTTAGTGGCAAGGTATTTATGGGCAGCCTTAGCAAGAGCATTTGAATAAAATCGTGTAAGACAGATTGCAGGGGAGCAGGAGTAAATATGAGGTCAGAGAGAAAAGCAATATAAAGTACTAAGTAACCTGTCTCTGAAGGGAAAGCAAAGTAGTTAGAGAAAATGTTTCTTGGGTTTTTTTGCGTAAGTTTTATTGAAGAGATGGGCGCGTGTTGACATTGAAGAGAATGAGCTAATGCAGTGAGTGATGCGTTAATGGAAAAGAACTTTGGTTATCTATAAAATGAACTCATTTAATCCGGGCCTCTCATTGTGGTATAGGGTTAACGGACCCCACAGCCAGTGCCCATCAACAGAGCTCTCTAACTGTTCTATGGCTGTAGAAGCAGGCAGGTAAGAGCCTTCTTTTTGAAGAAAAGCAGATAAAATAATTTCTTCCCTGCTTTTTCAAGATTATGAATGTTTATCATAGTTGGAAAATACCGATGAATGCATTAAGATGAGAAAATGCCAAAAAGTCAAAATGATCCCGAGGTAAAGTCAACATGAGGGCTTGTGTCATAGGGCCAGAAGTTTATGGTTTCATGGGATGTGCAGTCATCCTGCGGACAGGTCAGGCAAGTGTGATGGTGCCCCCATACACGGGCAGGAGTTGGGTACTTTGTATAAAGTTGGCAGTTTGATTCGCCTCTAAAGTCTAATATCTGGGAGACCAAATGGAAAGTTTCTATGATGGATTTGCTATCCTTGTTTCTGACAGAGATCTCTGTGCTAGTGTTTTCTGCCTTTAATACACTTTTCTTGGAGAAACAAAGGGAAACAGAGTTCTTACTGGTACCATTCCTGAACCATTATCACCATTCTTATCTTCATAGCAGCCTGAGCAGGTTACCCTTGTCCACCCCTTTGGCCTCCAATGCCATCCACCCACCCTGTCCCTGATCCCAGAGAACTGAGACTGTTTAAGGGGAAGAGACATGGTATGAAGGATAGCGATGTTAGCTGAAGAACGTGTGGCTTGTTTTATGCGTATAAGACTGTGGCACTGTCCTTCCCCTGAATCCTACAGCCCAGTCATCTGTCTTAGTGTGATGTTGGATTAAGAAAACATGACAGAGTAGAATTTCTATCTCTCTGCCTATTTATCTCTCAAACAGGTAAAAGGGTATAAATGTATAATCCACAGCAACTCTGATTAAACTCACCTGTACTCTTATTAGACTCTCAAATATCCCCAGACTGCCAGGCTTCTCTCACACTTCTATACTGACATAACTCTCTCATCCACTAGGTCCCCATGGTTTTTATTCCACTCTAATTGCTTTTTTTCTCAACAATTCACCTGAGAAGCTTTTATCCTTCCTCTTGACAGAATAGTAAGAGGTGAAGAAATTAAGGCAACCAAGGTGGGGGAGGCGGTGATGAGGAAAGCTGTGCAACCCACAGCTCAATTTTATAATAGCATATCAGAGATCTTATAAATCTTGTGTCTGCAGTTTTTCCTCTCAAAAGACGGGACACCCAATAGAAAAAGATACTGGTCAGAGAAAGCTTTCATTGGAGTGGTCGTCCCAAATAATGCTGATATTCTTGTGCCTGGCACAGTCCCATGGGAATATTCAGAGCTCTGTACAGTTGCCAACACTCTTACCTTCTCTCCTACTCAAGAAAGTATGTGGATGTGTAAATGTACATGGCCATATTATGAGTATAATTTTAAATCCAATTGATCCAAAAAAGTAGTTTGCACAAGTGCCTCTTTAGTATATGTAGTCATCCTTTCGTAAATGCGAATTTCAAACTAGCCTCACTTTTATTATTCTACAGTGTTGAAGTGTATAACCTCCTTTTTAAAGAAGTGTCTGTGGCTGTCACATGGTGCACAGCCCCTGGGACAAAAGGCCCAGTTGGAGGCCAAAGCTATGTAGAGAATGGCCTCAGGAGCAGTGCCTGGCCATGACCTTTGACATACCTCTTGCTCCCTTTCCCCTGACCTTTATGATAAATGCTATGGCCACTCCCCACCCCAAGTCGAGCATCCTCCCATGGAGTCCAGGGTTACATCTGAGATCCAGCGGTTTAATAGCATAAAGTAGACTGATGACATATTAATATGAGTGTTCCTTCACCTGGCCCAATCTTCCCCACCTCACCCACATTCTACCACACATTCATTCTCCAGCCTCTTCAACTCTCACCCCTGATTCCTCCATACACCACAGCACTAAGGTTGAAGTCGGCTGGCCAATGCCTTTTTTGGACAGTGCTGCCATGTAATGAGAAAATAACATTTTTCTCCCGTCCCTGCTCTAGATCCCCAGCACTGACAAAATTTTTTTACAGATTATGGGCTCTTTGATGACGTCAGCTAAAACAGTGGCATCCAGGGATGGGCAGCAGTTGACTACTAGATGGACCAGTCCATGATAGAGTCATGTTCTGCTCAGGCCGAGACACTGAGGAATATTCTCACCATCCACTGGGCCACAGTCAGGGATCTTAAAATACTTTAGCTTTTAAGAACTGGAACCACCACTTTCCTTAGTGCACATAAATCTATTATTGAACTCCCCCCACTCCGAAGTACTTGGCTACCAGTGATGTGTGAATCACGAATGTTGGGGAAAGTTCAAGCCAGTATCATAATTAAGAGCCTCTGCTTTAGAGATCCACAAGTAAAATATAAGAGTAAATGGTACCACCTCCTCTATCCAATGCATACAGCACCTCTAATGCTGCCTTCTGAGGGCAATAACTTTCAACAATTGGATGTGAATTTTTCCATTCATTTTGAAAAGATCTTGCTCAAAGCTGTCTAGGCTATACATAATCAGCACTTGCCTGGTTGTTTAACTCTATATACCAAGTCATAGACAACTTGTCTTAATTTCTATAACTAGAACTTTTGATGATATTTTCCATGAGAAGTGAATGGCTAGCCAAAACCAGTATTGTAATTGATTGATTAGCAAAGCTTTGTGGAAGGAAGACAGAATGTTAAACGTGAATCGGGAAGTATGAAACTTCCACCTGTTATAAAGTCTGAATTTAATTCTCATGAACTGTTGCCACAAGCTAATGATAATACTGATGTTAAGACCAACACTAATACTGATCAAAATTCCAATATAGATCATCAATAACAACTATTACTGCCATTTGTTGAAGGCCTATTATGTGTCAGTTATTGTACTAGGCAGTTTTATATATAAGGTCATTTAATCCACTATTATTAGCTAACCCTATCCCTCAGGTAAGGAAAGAGAGACTCAAAGAGTAAAGCAGGTAATTAGTGGACTGGGCATTTAACAAGCTCCACCAACTGCAAAGTTCTTGTTCTTCCCAACATACAGTATACAATCATGCAAAATGGCAAGATTCTTCCCAATACGGTACTGTTTTCAGAAATACGATTATAGGAAAGTACACTTTTTTACATTTCCACATAGATTTTCTGTGGACTAATCAGACTTCATATATGGGGTATATTAAAATCCCAAAAAGAATTTGTAGTGGGGCACAGCCTGTTATTTTATGTTCTACTAAGCAAATACAAGGATGTAGAGTATATGTCCTCATTCACGGGAATAAGTAGCAAACACATAGTCAATACATCCCCTCAACATCCTCCTATGATATTCAGCCACTTGAAGAATGTTACTTGAAAAAAAAAAGAAAGTAGTAACTACAACAAAATAGAGAAATGAGGAAAATATGGCAGCAACGCAGTTCGAGAATTACCTCAGGCATTTTGTAGATTGATTTTTTTCAGTCTTGGCAAATATATGCTTTCCTTCTTTTCCTCGTTATGGCAGACATTACTAATCATCACAACACTCTTTCCCACTGAGCCCAGATGCTGCTATAGCCTCCTTTTTAAGACCATATTTTGACAACTACTGCCAATGAATCGTAGTTAGCATGTGATACAAAATCCATTTCTGTTCCTATATTATTTTCTCACAAAAATTGCCTTTCCATGAGGTTCAGTGATCTGTCACTCTAGCTATAGGGACAATGTGCTGGGTACTCAGAATTATAGGAGATATTTAAGCAGTATTATTCCTACTCCACGTCTATCCCTCCTAACGTTCAAACACAGCTACAATTTAAAAATTTTCATCCCTTCCTACTTTCTGCTAGTTATCATCATTATGAGAATTAAATCATCATATTGTATCAATTAAAAAAAAACTTGAAGGCTTACTGAAAATAAAAGGCATTCTTCCAGTTTAACACTTTGGAGAAGCAGATTGTTTGGAACCATGAGATATTGCCACAAGTATGAAATAGTCACAAAATATATGGCATGGTTCTATGCATTTGAGATTTTATAACATTTTGAGTAAAATTATACTTAAAAATTTTTTAAGTATATCAAAATTCGTTTATTATTTTGTGTTCAAGTTTGCTATTCAGCCTATTTGCAGAGAGGGCAATGTATTCTTTTTTATCTGATTAAATTCTTCAAAGTTAGGTAGTTTTTATATGAGAAGATTATTTTATGGATTAACTATATAGAGTGAAGTGTAATACCTGAGTTTTGAGATCATAAACACGTGTGAAAGCAGTGACATTAAGTTGGATACTGCTGATGTGGTTCTGAGTCCCTTTGCCCTGGGCCACCTCACCCCCACCTATGGCTGCCTCTCTCTCCACTCTGAAACCTACAAAGGCAGAGATCAGCAAACACCAACAAGAGGCCCTTAACTCTTCAATTTGAGGGAACTAAATGAAAATAGATGGTCATGAGTCACCATTATGTCATGGACCAAACTTTTCCACAGAGAATATTCAAATCTAAATCATCACATATTTAATAAATTCCTGTGATACTTTCAGCATTGTGCTAAGGCCAACAGAAAATAGAAAGATAGAAAGATATGTGAGATATGGTCCCTGCCATCAGGGAGTTTTAACTTACTCTTTTAAAAAAAAAAATTCTTCTATCTTATGGATTGTTCCCAAAGGAAGTCATTCAACTGAAGCAAAAAGATAACGTGCTGTAAAACTGCATAGTCATCTGTAATAATAATAAAAAAAAATGTTGCTAGCCACCTAGGAGCCTAACTTAAGGGAATTAAATTATAAAGCATCAACATGTAGAATATTATACACTCATTTGATTAATAGTTATGAATACTACTGAAACATGCAAAGATTAATAAATAACTGAAATAAAGACAATATCAAACAGAATGGACCTAATCTGTACAGTTCTGCTAACCATATATAAATGTAAGAGCTAGGGGGAAAAAGTTTTGTTAGAATAGGAACAAGAGAGGGATGCCTGGCGGCTCAGTGGTTTAGCATCTGCCTTTGGCTCAGGTCGTGATCCTGGGATCCTGGGATCAAGTCCCGTATCGGGCTCCCAGCAGGGAGCCTGCTTCTCCTTCTGCCTGTGTCTCTGCCTCTCTCTCTCTCTCTCTCTCTCTCTCTCATTAATTAATGAATAAAATCTTAAAAAAAATAGTAACAAGAGAAAAGCCGCTAAGCATGTGATGGCTTCATATTAAAATAAGATCTTATTTTGCAATAGTGTTTCTCAAAGTATAACCTTTCTTGAATCGTTCTTAATAAATCTATTACCATTTTATTTGCATGATAAATATAAAACATGGAAAACTTTTAAGGATTAAAAACCTTCTTGCTTTTTGCTGGCAGTTTTGATACCTATTGATTATCTATATAAGAACTTTCTAGGGATCCCTGGGTGGCGCAGTGGTTTAGCGCCTGCCTTTGGCCCAGGGCGCGATCCTGGAGACCTGGGACCGAATCCCACGTCGGGCTCCCAGTGCATGGAGCCTGCTTCTCCCTCTGCCTGTGTCTCTGCCTCTCTCTCTCTCTCTCTCTCTCTCTCTCTCACTGTGTGCCTATCATAAATAAATAAAATAAAATAAAGATAAAAAAAAAGAACTTTCTAAATTAAAATACTAGTACTGAGGCACCTAGGGCACCAACTCAGTTTCAGCTCAGGTCATGATCTCTGGGTTCTGAGATCAAGACCCACGTGGGGCTCCATGCTCCATGGAAAGTCTGCTGGAGATTTTTTTTCTCTCTCTCTCTGCCCCTCCCCTGCAGTCATGCTGTCTTTCTCTAAAGTAAATAAATCAATCTTTTTTTTTTTTTTAAGGCTACTACTATTATGAACTCAAAGGGCTCATTAGAGTAAAACATTATTGGCTCTATCAGTGCTACTCATTTTTACATATTTAGATGTATTACAAGTATATATTTATTGAACCTTAAGCTGTGTCATTACCTATTCTACCTACACTCCAGTCCTCTCTCTAATCTAAATGGACCATCATTTATACATTTAGAATTTCCTAACTTTACCCCTTCCTCAGTTTTCTGAGAAAAGTGATAGACCTTTGACCTTCTGTTCTACAATATATACTTTTTTCAGTGTGAGCTGCTGATTTTGCTGTAAAGACATTTCTCAGGTGGGCAGCTCCCACTAATCACCAAATAGCAGAAATTTCTATGTGCTCAGCAAATGGCGGACTGAATTTATCATTGTACATGGTTGATAAGAAAGGGCATTTATTGTTTATTAGGTAATATTCCAGAGAATTCATGTGAAGGTGATGGAACCCAGCCCTCAAAGCCAGAAAATAGCAGCATTTTTCAACTTCGTTATAAGATAAGGTGAAAGAAAAGTTATTGCACGGTGGCTATGAACAATGAGGGGGCCCTGACCTTACTAAATCAACTGCCAATGCCACTGTAGAAAGGCCAAAGAGTAACTAGGTTACTAAAGACGTGTGGAGAGAAAGGGAATTAAAACGAAAAAAGAAAGGGTATTGAAATGTTCTGGGAGCAAACAGTGAATGCTTTTCAACAAAGAAATAGGCTGGTTAAGTCGTTTGGTATACAGAATGTCCTTTCATGACCTTTCTATACTAAGGACATAAAATTAGCGAATTACATTTCTACTCACCGATTATATGAAATTGTGAAAGCTCAAGAGTTATTCCAGAGTTATCTCAGGAGAGAGAAGTGGATGTCATCCAACACTCTCTGTGCATCAAGAATGGCACTGGAGTATGAAGGGAAGTCACTTAAATACATTCTTTTAATTTTGTCCAGTCTCAACAAACTTCCCTGAGAAGTAATTAAAAGATGTGGGAGCCACATTGCTTTAAAATAGGACATTCAGTTTTTGAGCATGTGCGGCTTTATGTTAATAAGCAGTAAGGGTGCCCTGGTAATTTTGATATTTAAACTTAGTGAACTTACCACAGCAGTATTTCTTAAACTGTGTTTTATAGAAACTGGTCAGATCATTTAGGAAAATAATGCAGAAGCTATTGCTAATCCTCTTATATGTTCACATTGTACGTTAGAATAGTGAAGACTTGGAGAAACACTATAGTTAAAAATCCTATTTAACTCTTTGCAGTAGATACCTTTATTATTTTGTATTTTATATGAATTTCTGCTTATTTTACAATTCCTATCGATATGAATGCCTCTAGGAAACAACAAATATAGCAATAATAAAGGATTTATTGGTAGATGCTATGAAATGTTTTCAACCTTTGGATATAACTAATCTTTGTTTAGGGTCAAATCATGCATCATTCTGATATGAATTTGAATGAATTAGGCCACAATCAAAATAGCATTGCAATTTGTTGTACAAAAGAAGAGCATGTAGCTTTTAACAGCCTCCCAAATTGGAAATATAGTAACAGGATTGAGTACTAGTAAAAAGGATAAGAGTTATTGTTCAGGATTACCAGACTCAGTGTGGACCACAATGTGGTCACAAGATAAATGCATATAATTTAGGCAAATTCAAATTATATATTAAAAGCAAAACCCCCGGGGGATCCCTGGGTGGCACAGCGGTTTGGCACCTGCCTTTGGCCCAGGGTGCGATCCTGGAGACCTGGGATCGAATCCCACGTCGGGCTCCCAGTGCATGGAGCCTGCTTCTCCCTCTGCCTATGTCTCTGCGCCTCTCTCTCTCTGCGTGTGTGACTATCATAAATAAAAAAAATACATAAATAAAAATAAAAATAAATAAAAAAAGGGAAACCCCCTGTGTTTTCCACATTGTCTCTTCACCTTCATCCTCATCTTCAACCAGACCCCAGTTTAGAAAAAGGGAAGCCAATGTAGCAATCAAAGAAAAACCAAAGACATGAACTTGAGGCCTCTGGAGGGGACTCTGTCCTGAAAACTCCCAAGGGCCCCCTTTCAGAATCTGCAAGAGTTGTACAGTGTACAACTTGTATGGCTATGCAGAATGTCTCTGACTTGCGTGTTCCTAAAGACCCAAGGCCTGGTGATTTCAGGGTTACTTAAAGGACTTTTATGGGTAACTTCGATTATTAGAGATTTTTATGTTTTATGTTTTTACCTTAGGCACTAACCTTAAAACCTAACTCCTATTCTCATATATTTTTAACAGAACAATACAAGTTATATAGCATGTGTACTCCATTCTACTAACCAGTGGAGGAATTCTTATTTCATGTGGTTTCATCATATGTGTTCATATACTACTGGTGTTTAGTTAAAGCTAGAATAGTTCAAATATGAATGATAAAAACTATTATGATGAAGTATTTCAAATATGAATGTTAAAACTATGGATCTAGTGAAGTCTCTGGATTCTTTCATTCTTTAATTTTATAAAAAATTAAAAGCATAGTAAATGAAATTTGGATTAAGCTTCAGTATTCTAATAAAAATAATTCAGTGATTCACTTCTAATATTTTTCATTACTTAGAAAATAGATTTGACTCAAATACCAAACTTAAAAAAAAAATAGGTTCCTGCTCCACTATTTAATATAAACTCTCAACCTAGTAATTTTTAAATGATATATTTATTACCCTAGAGGGCTAATAACATGCCTATAAAATCACTTTTACTGCTGGGTATTTTGTAAAACCATATAAAATATTTTTAACTATTTTCATGTATTTCTAGAAGGAGAAATAGAATATAGTTTATTGCCAGAATCAGTTGAATACACAAATTTTAGTTAATTTTACTATAATTTCTAAGGTTACTTCCATGTTTATTCTGTCTTTAGTTTATATGAAACTATCCTGTATAAATATGTATATGTATGAACACGTATACACATACAAAAATACGTATTTATGTATGTATACACACACATCTGCTAGCCTTTCCAGAGTAATGCCTTTATATTATTTTTATTATAAAACCATAAAAATATGGGGCTCCTAGGTGGCTCAGTTGGTTGAGCGAGCGTCCAACTCCTTGACTTTGGCTTAGGTCACGACCTCAGGGTTGTGAGATCAAGCTCTGCTGGGCGTGGAGCCTGTTTAGGATTCTGTCTCTCCTTCTGCCCCTCTCCCGACCCCCACCCTCATTATCCTCTCAAAAAACAAAACAAAACAAAACAAAAAACTACAAAAATATCCCCAACTGCAATGCCCTTTGCATTAGATATTAGGAACAAATATACAGATGTCTGTATCACTTACTCTAAGATCCATCAATGCTGGATTCCTTTTTCTCATTAACCCAAACTTGAGTTGATTTTACTTTGTTTTATGCTATGTTAACATCCATGCCTTGGGCTCTCCTACCCTAGGCTTGGATGTATGTAAGTCTTACTCATGCAACTGAACTCTGTAACAGCAGAAATTGCTTTTTAATAAATAATAAATCCTTGTTGAATGTTTGAGAATAAATCACTGGAAGCTTGATCAGTGAATTCACTGTGAAAAAGAGAAGGGATTATCAGAGCAAACATTTAAAAAAAAAAAGGCAAAAGGGCAAGGATTCAGTGGCAGATTAGAAAGTGTAAGAGAGAACAACCCATGACTACTTACTGTCCTTTATAAGGACTGGACTTTTTCTCGATTTGAAAGCACAATTTTATGCAAGAGGAAAAAGTAAATAGCAGTTAGCAAGATGTGCGTTTTTCTCCAAAGATACATCTAGTATAAAACCAGGTTAATGGCAAAAAGCAGAAAAAGACAAACTGACAAGTGAAACTGACCAGATAAAAGTGGCTGATGTGAATATGATGGAAAATTAGAGATTTGTTTTAATGGACTATGAAAACATCAGAGGTAAGAGTACTGAAAAGAGGTAAAAAAAAAAAAAAGTTGATTATTTTTTGCTTTATGTGACTTTAAAAATCTCCATGGATTTTTTTTTTTTTCCTTGTAGAATGCCAGAGTCCCCTGTTGAAGTTCCTGAATATCCTTTGTTTGTCACAGTTGGTGACTGGCTGGATTCTATCAAGATGGGGCAATATAAGAATAACTTCATGGCTGCGGGGTTTACGACGTTCGACCTGATTTCAAGAATGAGCATTGAGTAAGTGGTGCTAGGTTTATTACCATGTTTAGACAATCCACTCGGGAAGTTACAAATCCAAATACTGTATCAGGAACACTGTGATGCAACCACATTTCCTAATGCTAGCCTGGCATTTCCACATCTTTCCTCACCATTGCTAATTACCATTCTAGTGGAAATTAGACATTACACTTTTAACTATTTCCCTTTGGAAGAATATGTTTGATTCCAATAGCCATTTTAAAAATTTGTAAATGCTTTCTGAGATGCATATTACTCTCATTCACATCCGAGACTTCACATCAGCATAGTGACTCACATATACTAATCTTGCATAATCAATTCTGTTACTTTCATCAAATGTAGTAATTGTAGTAATACATTACCATCACGTAAATTCAGAGGTCCTCCTCTATATTAAAAAAGCTGGACATTTTTCTGTTGTCTCAAAAATTATTCTTTGCCTGTGTACAGTAAAATGTTCAACATATGCTTAAAAGGTAGATACTAAAACTAGTTGGTTGAACCAACTATGAAATCGCCATTATTTTGAAATAGTAATGGCAATTTTATTTAGTTCAACATAATACAACAGCATTTTTTCCAGTTTGTTGAATGACCACAGGGCTCAGATGAAGCCCCCATTATACCGTTCACCCCATATATTAGTTTTGTTGACACTGTTGAAAATTTGTATCATTATCTAAATTGTATACCTGGGGCGCCTGGGTGGCTCAGTTGGTTAAGCATCCAGCTCTTGGTTTCAGCTCGGGTCATAATCTCGGGGTTGTAAGATCAAGCCCCACATTGGGCTCCATGCTCAGCAAGGAGTCTGCTTGAGATTCTCTCCCTTTGCTACTCCGTTCTCTTTCTTCCTCTCTCTCAAATAAGTAAATAAATCTTTTTAAAAACTGCATGCCCTTTAGGTCTATGAAATGTCTGAACATTGTGTTGGTACCTGAATTTGAAATTTTTCTTTGTATCCTTAAATTTGAGGTAGACTGGATATATTATCTGGCACCGGGGAGAAGAAAAATGTAACAAAGTCTTGATGTTCACTGATATCTCTGTTTAAACTCTCATTTTACCAACTATACAATTTTTGTTAAGTTCACAAAGCAAATCTGACATGATACATATTTACCACATGTAAGTCTTCATTTCTTATCTCCTTGTACATACCAGATCTAAATGTCCATATTCTCTCTCCTCCCCTCACTCCCATCTCTGTCTCTTTTTCTCTCTCACAGTGATATTAGAAGAATTGGAGTCCTACTCATTGGACACCAGAGACGGATAGTCAGCAGTATACAGACTTTACGCTTACACATGATGCACATACAGGAGAAAGGATTTCATGTATGAAAGTACTACAAGCACTTGTGTTTTGTGCCTCAGCATTTCTAAAATGAACTATATCCTCTCTACTACCCCCTCCTCTGATTCTCCAAACATCACTTCACGAACTGCAGTCTCCTGTTCAAACTACGGGCACACACCTTTTGTTTATGCTTCTAACCTGGATTTTAAAATTATGCCTCATAGCTCCTCTCTGAATAACCTGCAGATAAAACCCTGGCCCGCTGCAGATTATCACTGACAAAATGGTAAATAACTCAGCATGGATGTGTAACTTTGTACAACAGTATTTGGGAAGTGTTCACGAACTTAACCCAAAGGAATTTGGCCAGGTGTGGCTTCCTTAATGACGTATTTAGAGTTTGACGGTAGATAAAAAAGAAATAGTTGACCTTTCTTTCATGTTTTGTGATCAAGTAGCTTCCAAACTGACGTGAATACTTTTAGATAATTATATTCAACTCTATAGATCATATTCTTACTTTATTTTATAATAGTTTAACTGTTGATGCCTGATGTTGTTAGAAGTATTTGCAGAAATAACCAATGATATCATTTGGTGAATTCTTGTCAGGTGTGACTACACTAAGAAAGAGGTTATCAGGGAGGGAGAGGGAGAAACATACTGTGCTTTTCAATCTTCTAAGGCTGGTTTGTCTATTTTTTTTTAAATTAACTTCATAGTGTCCTAAATATTTCATAGTAAGTGATTGCTTAGAGGCTTTTCCCCTCTAAGTTTTATTAGCAATAGTATATTTCTGTCCTACCTTATGAAGATCACCCCAGAAAGATCAAGAGTGAAGCTTGAAATAAAACTGTGTCTATTCCCTTGGTTCAGCTTTACAAGTTTGCAAAAGCAATTATCAAAGCACTGAGAAAATTAGTTATTTTCAGTAGACTTGCTTTGAATAAAAGATCTAAGAATATCGCCTTAGATTTAATGTAAAAGTAATTAAACACAATTTTATGATAGCTATATGGTGGCCCAAAAAATAAACACATCTAGTTGGCTGATGTTGGTGCATTTTGCAAGTTAAAGAATTTTTATATTTTGTTCCTAAAAAATAAGTTACATGAACGTGCTGAGCTGTTTTCTAAACCTTTAAAGAGACAAGTATACCACTGTATGTTCGAAAGAGGATATGAACAGACCTAACCCATGAGCATATATAAATCGTGTGTCAACCTGGGCCCAAAACACAGTAACTGAAAATGTGAACACAGCTAGAATGTGTTGTCATAATCATCTCAGAGGCTGCAAAAAAAAAAAAAAAAAAAGCAAATATATTTTTCAGTGAATTATGCTGAGCAAATTATCAAAAAAGTGCTGCTTTATGAGTAAGTTCAATTGTAAAATCAGCTGTTGCCTGTGAATGTACAGAATGGCTTCTGTGCTGGGTGTGGAAGAGTAGGCAGGATGTGTTGAGAGAGAGAGAGATTTTAAAAGGAACAGGTTGTCTAAAGATGCTTATTTAATAAATCAGTTTTTCTCTGATCTAAGACCCAAAGGTGCCCAATCCACATTCTCCAGTTCCTACCTAAATCACATTTTTTTTTTTTTTTGGTAATAGCAGCTGTCTTGCTATTAAAGGAGACTCCCTTTCTTTTATTCTTTTAAGATTTGTTTATTGTCCCATTAGACTAGACCCTTTCACATACATTATTCTGATTTATCTCCTGATTTTTATCTACCACAGCTCAATTTTTCTCGTTTCAAAAAAAAAAAATTGTATAGAGCTAGAAGGAAGAGTCTTTAACGTATTCCTTAAAGTATACTAAAAAGAAAAAAAAGTGAGAAATTCATCACTTTTTAAGTAAGTGTGTCAGAAATAGCTAGCAACATTTTCTAGCCACCACCTGCATGGTCATGCATCACTCATATACTAACTGCAGTTTGCTTGATACATTTACACAAATCCGGATACATGTAGAGGAAATATAAAATTTCCATATTTACCTGTCTTCAAATATATATTAAATAAGAACAGATGTAAAACAGATTAAATTTATTAATCATATATATTTATTTTTATAATACAACAAAAAAGGTATTTAGAAAAATAAGGAATAATTATGGTCTTCCATAGGACTCTGTCAGCAACATCTGTATAGTTTGATGAAATAAATTCTATAAAGTATTTAAACTTCTATGAGATGGGCATTCAGTACTTACAAGATTAAAGTTCACTGTTAAGAATTTTTTTCTTAAAAGGTACAGAGATCTTTTTCTATATGTGAGTAACTTATATTTCTTTTTTTCCTTCCCCAACATCTTCCTCTAGTATTATAAAACTGCCTTTCTACTCCGTCTCTTTCCCCAAATGCTCTTTAAAATTTCTTTAGAATTACATTCATATTTTTCAGAACTGTAAGCATGATAATCTTACGTGTAATTTTGAACCTCATTATGGTCAGAAACACATGGTTGAAATATTTCTGCACGATTAAACAGATATATTAAAAAATAAGGATATCTGTTTCTTAATTGCCTACCCACAGACCCCTGATCCCAAGGATATTATAAGATTTAGGAATATTAACAGTTAGGTTGCCAAATTTATTTGGAAATTTTACATGAAATATTTTGAGAATTACTAGTGCACATACTTAGTCATTAAAACTTTAATATGCATAAGTATAGAACCTAATTATAGAAAGAAAATTAGTAACTTACATAAATCACAGCCTTCAGTAATGATTTTTGATAACTTCAGTATGCATATACATTCATGTACCTGCTTTATTTTACATTTTCTGATCTATACTACTGAGGAGCTTTTTGGATTTTGTAAATTGAGACAGTTGAAGAAACCACTTTTATTTCCTGGGTGGTCAGTTTCCAGTCTATAAACAACTCATTATCTCATAGTATAAGGCATATGTGGGGGAAAAATATAAAAACAATGTACAATCGAGAAGAGAGATTAGGTATATAAATCATTAAAAAAGCAATCAGAAATTGCAAAGCTCTTGGCTTACCGAGAATCAAAATGTACAGCACTTTTGCACTGAGTTATCTTATAGCTGCTGACAAATAAGTTATGCATGCCGTAATCTAAAAAAAAAAAAAAGGTTTGTATTCTTTAATACCCTGCATTACTCTTTAAAACCTATCCAGATATCAGCTGAATAAAAAACAGCCTTGTAGCTACAGTTCTAAGGCCTGCTTCAGTCCGCAAAAGGAAAACAAATCCAAAGTCAACTCTTGAAAAGCAGTCTTTACAGAAGTCCTTCTGAAGTGGTGGTGAAGAATGAATCTCAACCACATTTCATGTAAAAAGTCCATTTTTTGTATCTTTCCCTACCAAAGTTCTACTTTATAAATCAGTCAATTAAATCTCTTATCCCAAAATTTTCACCAATATTAGGTCTCTTTTTTCTGTTCCTTCATTAAATTTCCTAAAACTTCTTGCTCAGTCAGCTCCCCGTCTCCTCTCTTTATTACTCCCATCTCCTCTCTTTTCCTTTCTCAGCTTCTACTCAACCCCTATCCCTATCAGCAGAAGAAAGCTCAGAAAATCTAAAAAGATCTTACCATCTCTTTACAAGAGGCTGAAGACGGAGGGAAGGGACTGTTGCAGGAGCCATACATTAGTATTTTGGGTCCCACCACATAAACGAGAGCATTTGCACTCACAGAGAGGGAATGAACTTTTTATTAACTGGAAATTAAGTGCTTTGGAAAGTAATTTAAAAATGGATGATGATGATCCTTTTCTATAGCTTTAGATAAGGAAATTATTAATTTAAAAATTTGTATTTTAAGAATAAAAAACCATTATCCATTCACAGTTGGTGGACTTGTGTTTATACAACAAAGAGGCTAGAAGCAGATATATCTCTTCTTTTAATATTCTCACTTTAACTTTTCCAAGCTCAGATTCCATTTAGTAGAAAAGTCTTTACTACTTCATGTTCAATCCAAACATATTTTGATACTTTTTACATGAGGACTCCGAAAGAGGGGCACCTGGGTGGCTCAGTCAGTTAAGCATCTGCCTTGGGCTCAGGTCATGATCCTGGGGTCCTGGGATGGAGCCCCTGCTCAGTGGGGAGCCTGCTTCTCCCCTCTGCCTTTCTCCCCTCTGCCTGCCACTCCTCGTGCTTGTGCTCTCTCTCCCTCTCTCTCTGTCAAATCAATAAATAAAATCTTGAAGAAGAAAAAAAAAAAAAGACTCCAAAAGATAGAGTAGTACACTGAGTCAAATTGATGTTATTCTTCCATTAGGACACCAGGCACTGAAGTCGCCTTTTAGGTTGAATGATCAACATTTTCAACAACTTTCAATCTTTAATTATAAAGGTTCAGTAAGGAACACTATAAACTCCATTAGTTCAATTTAACAAATATCTATGAAGTGTCTCCTATACACATAAGGTTTTATGGCAAAGATGATTTTGGCTGTACTGTCCTTACCTTCAAAATAACTCTTAAGATTAAAACTTAGAGGTTGGAGCCTATTTGCTATGTTTGCTGTGATTTCCAAGTCACTAAGGGCCAGCTCTTTCCATAGAAAAAAAAAATACATTACATAAATCAATAAAGCCTTGTCCAGTGTGAATTGGATTTACAATCCTTATGGAGAAATTTATTTTGCACTGTAGATTCTCATAAAACACTCCACACTTCCTATAGCAGAGAGGAACAATCTTGCAGGATTCTCTTAAGACAATCTCTCCTTAGAAGTTATAGATTTTTCTTGTCCAGTGGCAAACTTTTCAGTTCATGTGTGGTAGAGTCACTACCTCAAAGGTGCCTCCAACTAGAAAATATTAGCCTTTTTTTTAAAACAACTCTGGAGTAATCTCTTTTCCAAGCCAATTCACTGGTATTAGTGAATGTAAAAAGAAGTATGAACCTGCAATAGTTGCACAAAATTCTTTCAAACATGCCTAGATCTAACATGGTACTAGATGAAGTAAAGGAAATGAAAAATCTTAAGTTGCAGAGGCATAAATACCCCTTTCTCTTACTGTTTCCTTAAAAAAAAAATATTAGGCAGGTATTTCAAAGATTTCTTTGGATAAAAATAAATTTTGTATATTATAAGGGGGATGAGACACTTCTGAGAAAAAAAAGGTCAAGAGATAGATACAGGTCATCAAAATGTAATTTCTATCTTCTTTCTTCTGACTAGTAATTAGATTTGAACTTCAGATTAATGATATATTATTCAAATGTGTAAAAAAAGGATGTTTACATCTTAATTGAAAACTTGGGGGGTGCCTAGGTGGCTCAGTAGGTTAAGTGCCCAACTCTTGATCTCAGCTCAGATCTTGATCCTCACAGTTGTGAGTTCAAGCCCCATATTAGGCTCCACACTGGGCATGGAGCCTACTTAAAAAGAAAAAGAAAAAAGACTTGGGTTATTTTTA